GTGTGGGGGTATTCAGCGGACACACTTTTATGTAAAAATACGTTGTGTAAGTGATCCCGTAAAATTAAAGAGCATTTCACATGCACATACGTAATAACACATACAGTGGAACCTCGATTTAACGAAGCCGCTGGGGACCGGCCAAATTTGTTCGTTAAATCGTGTGTTCTTTATATCGAAAACCTCGATATAGCGAATTCGAGGGGAAACGACCAAAATGTTCGTTACATCGAGGTCATAGTTAATGATTGATTTGTAACACAGGTGACTTCTGTCACGCAATTCAATGCAATTTTCGCCACCCAGAAGTGCCGCATTTTGAGATGCAATTCATTAAGCATGGTGGCTTTCAGTATCAATTATTTTCACTTTTGAGGAGACGCGCAGCTTTTGTTTACAAAAGAACGACACTTTCAGAGTAGCGATTTAAAAATGTTGCAACATAGAGATTATAAAGAAAATTGTCAGAAGTTGATTGATGTCGAAATACTATAATAATAGTGTCAATGTCTATGACATATAATAAGCCGTTGACTGAAAGGCTGCTGTATCTTTACAGTAAGGATTACAAGGATTTGTTTACTGTTGATCTGTTCAGCGTTTATCTTCTGTCGCATATTGACATTGTAATTCGTTATATCGAGGTTCTATTCCATAGATTTTACTGTAACTTTGGCTGGGACATATCGTTCGTTATATCGAGGACTTCGTTAAATAGAGGTTCGTTAAATCGAGGTTCCACTGTACTTTTCCCGCGTAAAATGTAAATATGGGGGACAAAGAGGACGAGGAATATCTCCGTCTGCATTTGCATGATTATAGAAAGGAAAATGGCTATGTCTTTGTTTTTTTTCGAGGGTGGTCTCAAAAAATTTCTCGAAGGATATATGTCATCGAATTCAAGCTGCTTTGTTCTGTCAGATCGCCATAGTAAGGAATCTTACTTGCAGGAAGAGCGCGAATTTAATTTATGCAAGATTTGCCGAGATGATGACGGAGAAGACTGGGTGGGCCGCGACGGGTGTGCCCAATATTTCCATGCGAACTGCCTCGGTGTCAGTTATTCCAAATCCTCTCACAGCCATTCTTCTTTTG